GATGACCACTGTGACCACTGCACCTTTCTTATTAATATTCTTTTGCACTTTGTAAAGGTCTTTTGTATTTATTACTAGTTTCTTGTTCACAGCATCCCTCTGTGGTTTGTGTTATTTGTTATGCATATTTTATAGACAAGGAAACAAATAGAAATATTGAGCTAAGATTGTGGTAGAGTTGGAATCCCATATGTTTTGATTCTCAATATAGTGTTATTTTCACAATGTTGTCAAACTCTCCTAGGTTTTGGCAGCATGATTTGTCTGTTAAAATAGCCAAGCTATGAGGTGTTAAGAGAAGGGCTGAGAAATCACTGGTATAATACTCCACATTTAAAGCTAGACTAATACAGGATTCACAGTCCAAGTACGAACCGTTGCAAAGCCTTAACTGTATTACCAAAAACAATAAGAACCTTTTAGTGTCAAACAGGAGACATAAGACAGGTACCTATTAAACATTTCTTTCTTTTTAATTTGTAAGTGCATCTTCTGGATACAAATTTGAAGACGAGCTGTAATCGTTATAATCTTAGGCTAAACTTAGATCAAATTTGTAAAAAACTGTCTTAACTACAGCTACGTATGCTAAAGGAAGTGTGTTTAGGACCCTCTGAAGCCAGAGTTCTTAATGGTCCCAGTGGGTCTTCATGGAATTCCTTATGTCCACAATCATGAAATCTGCTATGTTCTAACGAGAGGTTACATCTGAGAATCAGGAAAACTAGCCACTTAGCTTCAAACTGCACCTGGAGGTAGTCACAGACTCACAAGTGAGCAAACTGTTCCTTTTTCCAGACTCCAAGTCACATCCTGCATTGCCCAGCAGGCTTGGTCTTAGGAACATTTGTGTCTCCGTGTTTATGCTACCTTGGTGTTAGTCAATTCATAGTCTCAGGGAGGATTTCTAAAGTTCATAGAACTTAACTCCACTAAACAATGCAGCTTATATTGCGGAGATCAAGAAAGTGGCAATGACACCTGGAAAGGTTTCAAAGAGGTCAGCATATCTTAGAACCACACAGGAGGTTGCTAACAACAGAAAATCCCAACAGGATGGGAAGAAACATGGATACAACGAATTCCAGAAATACAAAGCTGTAAAACCTTTTAGAAATGAAAAGTTATAAACTCTCCTTATAGTTTCTAACACATGCTCTGAGGCAGAATCACTTAAAATGCTGGATATCCCACAATAGTTACTTGCCTAAACAAACAAAGGAAGAACAAAACTATTTCCTAGGGAATAATTGAACATATTCAGCTGCACAGTCATAAATGCCACCACAAAGGGCCCTTAAATATCCTAGTTCAGTAGACTTCAGATCAGGTTGGATGAGAACAATAACCAGCAAGAGATTAGTCTTCAGAGAAGTGCTTCGCATTATATAAAGTTGAATCTAACGACTGGAAATGTGGGTTTATGAAATCTTTCCCCAAAATACTGGCAGTGTGTATGGCTCAGAATCCAGGGAAGCTTTGTTTAATTTCGCCAAACTGAATGTAGTGACACTTCCATCACCCAGTAGGATTTGTGTATATGCTGTTCAAGCTAACTTCCTTTTCTGGTTAATAGAGAGCACTCAATTGACTCAGTTGCTTGGAATAAGAATGCCTCTACATTGTATGTAAGGAATTACATTTGCTTTTAGTCTCCAAACATGCACAATTTAGAGATTATGCATTTTTTCAGAATTGCAGAATTCCCACTATCAGTGACTTAATTTTAATAAACAAGTAACCAGATAAGTTGAAAATGGGCTCTAGGCAGAGCTATAGAAATAATAAAATATGGCTCCAAAATTGATATAATATACAGTTTCATAAGAAATGGCAGATATTTAAAAATGCAAAATATAACAAGGTAAGAATTAATTTTGAAGAGCAGCAGAGCATCTGGGAAATATTCATTAAAGTAGTCAGAGTTAGTGAGGGAAATATAAATCATACATTAAGTAAGACGTTGACAAACTTTTGCTGTGTAGTGCCAGATAGTAAACATTTTAGGCTTTCAGGGCCTTACAGTCTCTGTTGCAGCTACTTAACTCTGCACAAAAGCATCCATAATGAATGAGCATGGTGGTGTTCCAATAAAACTTTATAGACAATAAAATTTGAATTTCAATAATTTTCACACATCACAGAATATTCTTTTGATTTTTTTCAACCATTTGAAAATGTCAAAACCATTCTTAGCTCACAGGCTATACAAAAATAGGTGGTTCACCAAATTTGGTCAACAATTTGGCCAGTTTGCCATGCCAATCCCTGCTTTAAGGCCTCTCATTTGACAAAATTCAGAAGACTAAAGATTTGATATTAAATTGTTTTTGCTCTGATCTAAATGGTATTTCTATCACTTGACAACTTGATGAAATGTTTCAGAAATTAAGAAATGACAAGTAATAGTTTATATCTAATACTTATATAATCAACCAATACTCACCACATAACAGTAAAATATTTTTATTGTATTCATTCTGTACCTGAATAGACAAATTTCTGTTTAAATATACAAATATTTTAAATGAGATTTGATCATTTTTCTGTTATCTGAAGGGAAAATAGTACGTTTTCAGTAGTATCTTATAGTAATTCCAGCCAGCTTTCAATTTCATTAACTAGACTGTAATTCTTATTCACACCACTCTT